CGCGCGACGCCTTCTCCAGACACGCCGGGGCCATGTTCAGACACGCCCATGACAGTGCTTCTGTGGAGAGACCATATTCAAGTACACGCTAGGCAAATGACACACACTGGATCATCCTATGCGCAGTATATGTCAACTGCCAACACGGTGCCCCAGAATCACTGTCTCGTGTCTCGGAGGTCCGAGCTGTCAGGCGGGGAGCTTCTCGAATTTGTTTCCAAACACCAAGATAGACTTCCCAGACAAGACTTGCCGCATCCTGATCGCAGCCTGGGTGAGCAGGCTCCATAGACTGAACATTCCGCCTGAGCCGTGAGCCGCTTCCGCCCAACTACTTGCCTGTTCCTGCCATATCCAAAAGTTCACCTACTTGCGGCTGCCCCACTACCGCAATAGTTGACCGTCAACATTCACAGCATGAACACAGAATTTAGTATCGAGGCGCCGGCGGAGGCGAATCCTCTGACGGAGAGCATCTTGTTCCACGTCCTGCGATCAGCGTCTTCAGCAGACCAAACACAAGTACAGACGGGCACCAAGCAACTCCAGCAATGGGAGAAAGCCGCGGGTTTCTATCCTCTGCTGCAGGTATGCATATCTTAGCTCCCTGAACTGTACCGGACTGACACTAGTAGACGGTGTTCCTTGACCAATCTCTCCCCCTCGAAGTTCGCTACCTCGCCGTCATCCAGCTCAAGAACGGCATCGACAAGTACTGGCGCAAGACTGCCACCAAGTACGCCTCCACATAAAGCCGCAGAGATGCATAGGCTTACGTGACTGCAGTGCTGTAAGCAAAGAAGACAAGGCTATCATACGGGCTCGTCTACTCGAAAGCGCCGTCAACGAAGCCGACCATCGCCTGGCCCTACAGAATGCTCTCGTCGTCGCTAAGATCGTCCGATTCGAGTTCCCAAATGACTGGTCAGTCCAACTCAACATATACCTGCATGCTCTAACACTTTCTAGGCCAGATCTATTCCAACAGCTACTCCACGTCCTTCGCACCTCGACCGATCCGAACGCCTACCGCTTACAACTCCCTCGCGCCCTTCTCGTCTTGCTATACATCGTCAAGGAACTGTCAACTGGAAGACTTCTACGAACACGGCAGAGCCTACAGACCGTCGCGCCGGAGATCTTCAACGTACTTGGTACAATCTATGTGAACAAGGTACAAACATGGCAAGCCTTCTTTCGCGATGGCGGAGACGACGAAGGCGGTGCGCTTGAGAGTATCGACAACAGTCTGCTTGCTATCAAAACTATGCGGAGACTTATAATCGCTGGCTACGAGTTCCCAGGCAGAGACAAGGACGTTCAGGAGTTCTGGACACTGACCCGCACTCATCTCGGAGAGTTCTTACAATACGTGATACCGGAGAACTCACCACTTGCAGGCGAAGTTCAGAAGAAGGTAGGCAGGCACTTGATGCAGCTTTCGAAGTTGCACCTCAACATGGCCACGACTCACCCAGCAGATTTCGTCCTTTTACCCAATTCCATAGAGCTTGCGCGCGACTACTGGAGCCTCATCTCGCGACTAGGTGAGCAGTGGGGCTCAAAGTCTATCGAAGGCGCCAAAATCGGTACTGATGGCGATGCTGAAGATGAAGCACCCATCCTCGAGCGTCTAGGTCTCAAAGGCTTGCTGTTGATTCGTGCATGCGTGAAGATGGTCTTCTTCCCTACCCAGACTTTCCGCTTCAAGCACCAGCAGGAAAAGGATGAGAAAAATGCGGCCACGCACAAGATCAAGACAGATCTGCTCACTGACGACCTCGTTCGTGAAATGATCTCAGCACTTGTCCAGCGCTTCTTCGTCTTCAGGCCCAGCGACCTCCGTATGTGGGAGGAAGAGCCCGACGAGTGGGAGAAGATGGAAGAGGGAGCAGAGGACTGGGAATTTGCGATCCGACCCTGTGCCGAGAAGCTGTTCCTAGACCTCGCAAAGAATTTCAAGAATTTGATCATTCAGCCTCTGCTCCAAGTCTTCTACACAGTTGCGAGTGAGTACTCACTTTAGCAGAAGATGACCCTCGCTGATGTTTTATAGCACCGGAAAACGAAGACATCCTTTTCAAGGACTCCGTTTACACTGCCGTTGGTCTTGCGGCTGATATCCTGCACGATCAACTTGACTTCGACACCTTCCTTGAAAAGACGTTGGTCGTCGAGGCAGCGAAGCAGACACCGGGCTTCAATATCATTCGTCGCCGCATCGCCATTATCATCTCCCAGTGGATAACTATTAAGATGGCCAAGGAGAAGAAGCCTATCGTCTACCAGATCTTCCAGCATCTCCTCGATAAGAGCGATCCAATGAACGATCAAGTGGTACGAATAACTGCGGGAAGGAAATTCCACGCCGTCGCCGACGAGTGGGAGTTCCAGGCAGATGCATTCCTGCCGTACTCGCAGCTTATGCTCGATAGGCTGATGGCACTGGTCCAAGAGGTGGAACTTCCAGAAACGAAGATGGCACTGCTAAACACCATTAGTCTTGTTGTATACAGGTTAGAGCATCATGTAAGTCGGAGATGGAGACGCTTGAAGTATTGAGACTAACTGGATGCAGATCACCCCATACGCCAACAGCATCATCGCTCTCCTCCCACCGCTGTGGGAGCAGTCTGGCGAAGAGCATCTCATGAAGCAGGCGATTCTCACACTCCTGGCTCGTCTAACGAACGCCATGAAGGCCGAGTCACGTTCTTTCCATGTCTCATTCTTACCCATTATCCAGAGCGCTATCGAGCCTGGCTCAGAAACCCAGGTCTACCTCCTTGAAGATGCACTCGATCTATGGGCCTCTATCATTGCACAAACACCATCAGCTCCAGAGCCTACACCACCTGAATTGCTCAACCTAATTCAATATCTGCTACCTCTGTTCTCCATGGACAACGAGACCCTGCGAAAAGCCATCGAGATCACAGAAGCATACCTGCTTCTTGCGCCCTCCGCCGTCCTGGCAGACTCTTTCCGTCCCGCGATCCTCCAAGCCCTCGCCGAGCTCCTAGGCAACTTGAAACCCGAAGCGAATGGCATAATGACACATCTCGTGACATGCATCATTCGAGGTGCGGAAGGTGTAGGTGGCGAGAACGCTGTCAAGGTTCTGACTAGCGATTTGATCTCTTCCGGGTTCCTAGCAAAGGTTTTGGAGGGTCTCCACGGCGCATGGACCCACCATCAATCCCACGGCCCTTACCGCGAACTCCCTTCCCGGGCTGTTGATGGGGTTGTCGAAACCGACTACTTCACTGTGCTAGCACGTATCGGCATGGCTTCACCTTCTGTACTCCTCGAAGCCCTCTCCGCATTATCAAGTGAAGGTCTAGAGAAGACTCTAGATTGGTTATTGGAAGAGTGGTTTGGCCATATCGAGAACATTGGCGATGCGCCAAACAAGAAACTCATGTGCCTTGTTCTCACACGTTTCTTAGAAGGAGCACAGCCTTGGATGTTGGGCAGGCTGCAGTCGCTGGTAGGAATATGGACGGATGTACTTGGGGAGTTGCTGGATGGCATGGATGATCGGAGTCAAGAGTACGTATACCCATTTACCATTATTTTCGTGACCATACTGATGTCTCTTTCTAGTTCCCTATTCTGGCCTCCAGAACCTTACCACCCCACCGAACCTGAGGCACCGGAGGATATCCGCAAGCGCGAACTCATCTATACCGATCCTGTGCATCAGATCAATCTCGTTGCGTTCGTTAGGGAACATCTCCAACAGGTCATCCAACAAGTGGGTGGTGAACAAGCCTTCCAGGAAGAGTGGTTGAGCCGAGTGGACAAAGAGGTTCTCAAGGGTTTTGGGGAGTTGGGCATCATGTGAGGTGGGAAGACGGCCATTCATGACGGACACGTTAAGCGGACACAAGAGGGGCCAAGTCAAGGTTCTGAATATATTTTCCATGAAAAGGAATGCAACAGTGACAAGCTAGCCGTGGATACAAGGAAACATGTTATCTCGCCATGCCATCGGCAGTGTAGACATTTCGACTCACTTTGGATAGATGCGGGATGCGGAGCGGAACTGATGGAAGGGATTCGGAGCTTCGGAGGCGCAAAGTAAGGAGTCGATGAATGTGCAAAGGGTCGGGTGTTCGATAGCGAGGGTGAGTGGTTCGTCACAAGGGGATGTTAAAACGTGCGCCCAATGTCGATACGTGTATATTGCACGAGACCGAGATGTATTGATCGCAGCTTTAGCTGCATATTGCAACCCGTCTAAGGCTTTCGACGTTAGAACACACGGCTTCTCATTGGCCAATTAAGCTCTGCTCCCGGCCGTCCGATGCATGCCAAGATGTCAGTACCTCTGAATTAGGTTAAAGTCGTCGTGAAGGAGTAGGAGCGTATGAGATCAGGCGCGTATTTGGGCAGGAACCTCTCTATGTCTTTCAGTATGTACTCTTCCGCCAGATAAGCATTGCGCAAGGGATAAGTACACCCGCACTGAAGCTGCACCTCTTTAGCTCCGCGGACGGGTCGTCGGAAGAAATCCAAGGCACCGTGTAAGTTGCCAAAATTGAGTCAAGTTTAGGTCTGAAGTGCTTGAGCCTTCCCTGCACACGAAATCGTAACTTTGCCATTCGATTGCACCAGCACTCCAAGCTAGCTAAAGCAACCGAAGGATCTTGGGTAAAACTAATATCGCGAAACTGCAGGTGTCCGGCGTAGGCACATTACAAATACAAAGGTGCAGATACTTCGGTTCTCATCCCATTAATAGTCCTGACGTGGAACCCCGCGCTGCTACTTCCTATTCGGGCAAGCCATTCCCCATGTGTATATCCGTTAGTATACCCCACTCCTTCCAAGGTTACCAACAAACTCAACCCCGCCCCTCACCGTACCAAACTTCGACGGTTACTCCCGTCGCGACTAATCCGATGGGGCGTTTCAGAAATTTCCTGTCTCGTTTGACCTGCGGGATCTTCCACATCAAACCCAAATACTCAAGATTACCTCGTCCGGATCCTACAATGGCGACAAAAGTCCACGAATACAAACTTCCTCCTACAGCCCTCATTCCTAACTCACCATACCCGCTGCTCCACTATCCCGGTCTTCTCTATGATATGGTGACCTCACCGCACTTCAAAACAAGAGAGATTCTCGACCTTTATGCATCGAATGGCTGGCAAACACAATGGATAGCGCAGTACGGAATGGACATACAATCGCACTACCACTCCACTACCCACGAAGCCATGACCGTTATCTCAGGCGAAGGCGCATGGATCCGTTTCGGCGTCGCTGACTCCCCGTCCTGGTCGCAGGGGAAATACGAACCGGGTGACAGAGGAGATGGAGAGGTTGGTGGCGTGGATATCAAAGCGGAACTGGGCGATGTCTTCATCATCCCAGCGGGGGTTAGCCACAAAACCTTTTTGCCGCGACCACGGAACGAGGAATTGGCGTTCCACCAACCGAAGGATGTAGAGGAGGGGAGGGCGGCGGAGGTTGATGAGGAGAAGGAGGCGGAGAGGAGGAGGTTTTTTGAGAGTGTGGATGTCAGCGGCGGGAAGTTCATGATGATGGGTGCGTATCCTTATGGCGGAGTTTGGGACTTCGCTGTTGGGGGTGAGCATGACGGGAAAGAGGGAGAAGTGTGGAAAGTAGGCATGCCGGAGAAGGATCCGGTGTTGGGAGATAGTGATGAGGGATTGAGGGGGTTGTGGGAGGGTGTGGAGGAGGCTGGTGGTAGGGTGGTGATGGGGTTGAGAGAGTTGGGGTTTGGAGTTTGAGGTGTGATTGAGTGTGGGTAACGACCGAAACGATCTCTTACACAGTTCTTCTCATTTTCACGAGGATGGCTTCCTCCTTCATTCCCGTAGTCTCGATACCAAGTTTATCTCATTACTGTTACGCTGTCCACGCGCGTTTCTTTGGAATAGAGCATGAGCGGTAGTGTCAAACCCATCTCCAGCAACGAAATGAGGTGCGACTCGTCTACCACTATATCCAAATACGCCATATCTCTGTAACAGGTAGGTTTGAGAACATGTGGTCGTGAAGTTCTCCGCCGCACGATCATTCCGAGACGGGTCCGACATCCCCGAAAACGGCGCTAGCCTCCACTCCCGTCCACGCGCCCTACGAGTGATCCATCAAGGTCCATACTATAAAACAAATGGCAATACCCCTAACTTTCACAGTTTCGCGGCTCTTCGCATTTGAAACAGCTTGTTCGTCCAGATCACCTCTGATTGACGCGACGTATCCAAAGTTACTTAGGTAGGCACGATGCTGCCTCTTCTACGGCCCTTCCAAACACCCAGCCACGAGGCGGCACCTGATTAGCGCAATGCAGCAAGAGGAGGCACACAACACCAAGACAACTTAGGACCCCTCGTAGACCACTCTTGCTTCTAGAAGACGTTCACAAGGAGCGACGCTTTGCCAAAACCACCACCATGCCGCAGATAACCGCCGAATTGCGACCATAGCCAAGCGACCGGAGTCCCTATCATCATTACCAACGCCAACACCTTCTCACTCAATCATGAGAGGGTCATACCAACACATAGAATCGTGGGATTGACTGTACGCCCGACCCAGATCACTGGGCATCCAAGCCGCCAAGGCCAAGTGAGTGCCGCATAGCCGGACGCCCTCTGACTGATAGCAATCACTCGGCGTAACCTTACTCCCAGCTGGCTGACCGAGAACCTGTCCATGTAGGCGAGGAACTTGAATGGGAGTATTTGAGCCTGGTGGCCCGTTGTCCATCGGACGCGTGTCGCCAAAAGACACCTGAACGATACAACAATTACTGATGTAGATGCGTCCCGATGGGTCACGTGTGTGACCACAAACGCACGCCGAGGCCATCGTGCTTAGGCACCAAGACGTATCGGACCCCTCGTGGCTGACGGCCAACTCTGGTCCCACTCGTAATCCATAGACGGATTCCGAGCATTACCCCAGATCTGGATGCGTCGAGTTCTGTCGCGTGCGCAAGCTTTACCGCGCGCCAAGATCAATACACTAGAACCCAAGACCGACTGGACTGACCAGACGATATCTCACTCCCCCCCGTGGCTGACGCGCCAACACAGGTTCAGCGCCATGTCCGAGATACATGCACGCCTGGTACGGCATCGGCAATGGTGTTGAGCGCTCAGGATGGAGCGAACCAACCAATGTAGAGCTGTTGATCACCCAAGACCCGTTGTACCCGAGCAGTAGGGTACGCCCAAGCTAGCTGAGCCTCTGCGCAGGATCTGGGGAAGCCTTGGATGCGAGCGCCACACTACTAGTGCTGTTTGTAGAAGGAAGGTGGGCGATTGCTTGGGCTGGGCACATGCTTGGAGAGATAGGATATGTGGCACGACAGTCAGATTGTAGGACTCTATATACCGGGATCTCACTGCGCAAATCTTATGGTTCGACTTTCACGTTCGTCTCCGCAACTCGCCTTTACACGGTCGTGAATTGACCCCGTCACTCTGTCGGGAGCGACAAACTCCTTTTCTCTCGTTCTCTACCTACTACCCCCAGTCGTTAAGATGGCTGCAATCAAGAATATCCTCATGAAGCTCTCGCCAGCGGCGAAGAAGAGCGAAGATGGACGCGACATGTTCTCGAACCGCATCCAGTTCGTCCTCTGCGCCATGGGCGGTGCTGTTGGTCTTGGTAACCTGCTACGCTTCCCATCGGTCGTGTACAACAACTACGGTCTCCAATTCTTCATCCCCTACTTCATCGCCCTATTTTTCGTCGCTTTGCCGGTCCTGGTCCTTGAGATCGCACTCGGTAGCGTTTACCGTGGTGGCCCAGTTCTCGCGTGGCACAGCAACAACAAGCGCGCTAAGGGTATTGGTCTAGCGGTCGTCTTCAACGGCGTAAGTGGAATTGACTTGCAATGGTGAGAAACATACACTGACTTCGCAATTCTAAAGTATGTCGTGGTTACCTACTACGTGCCCCTCCTAGCATGGATCATGAAGTACTTCTCCCGCAGTTTCCAAAGCCCTCTGCCATGGAAAGGCCAGGACCTCGAGGAGTACTTCGCGAACGTCATCGTTGCTAACACGGCCGCGGCTTCCACGGGTAGTCTCAACCCCGATGGTAGCGTCGCCTCGTACACTCAATACGTCGGAACTGGTATGCTAGGGGAAACCGCAGGATGGGCCATCTTCACATGGTTCGTCACCTGGTTGTGCGTCTTCAGGGGTGTTGGTATGACTGGACGTGTCATTTACGTTACTATGGGTCTCCCGCTCGTCCTGATCATTATCCTCATCGGCCGCGGAGTCTCGCTGCCCAATGCTGGAGAAGGTATCAAGCTTTACTTCGCGACATGGCGCACCAGCGCCCTCGAGAGCCCTCAAATTTGGCAAGCAGCTTTTGGCCAGATCTTCTTCTCCATCGGTGTCGGTTTTGGGTATGTTCGGCTACAAATCTCGAAAAAGAAGTATACTGATGTGTGTCTAGATACTTCACATCGTGGGCGTCTTACTGCTCGTCGCACTCCAACGCCGTACAAGATGCTCTTATCATCGGCTTCAGCAATTCCGCCGTTGAGATTATCGCCGCTTTCTCCGTCTTCGGTGTTGTCGGTTATCTAGGCATTGATCCCTCCAGCGGCACACAGCTCGGTACTTTCGTTACAGGATTCATCACTTACCCCGAGGCTCTTGCTCAGATGCCAGGTGCTCCGTTCTTCTCCGTTGTCTTTTGTGAGTTGCAAAATATCATCTCCCGAATGACAACTTGCTAATCGTTCCTCATAGTCTTCACCCTCTTCCTCCTCGGTCTGACATCCGCCTTCTCCCTCCTCGAAGTCATGACAACACTCATCATGGACACGAACTGGGGCCGCAAACTTCCTCGCTGGGCCGTCTGCACCATTGTCACCGTCATCTCCGCACTCATCTCCCTCATCTACTGTACCGAGTTCGGACTGCAGGCCCTCGATGCAGTTGACACCTACGTCAACGATGTCGCCCTCTTCTTTACAGTCTGGTGCGAGACCTTCGCCGCAACATCCCTCTACCGCTGCCGCGACGTTGCCCACCAAGTCGGTTGGCCGGGATACCTCATCTTCACCATCGGTTTCGCCGTCGCCCAGGGTCTTGGCATTCGCGTCGCCTACGGATCAACCCCCGGAACCGGTGCTGGTGTCGGTTTCGCCTTCTTCATCGTCAGCAGTCTGATCGCGCTCTTCGCTGCCCGAACCCCTGCTATTCCTGGCCCCCGCTTCTTCGGTAACAACAAGTTCTTGAGCCGTTTCTGGTGGGTCGCTTTCTACCCTGGACACCAGCTCACACGGGATATGAATGTGACTATTGGCGTGGGAAAGAACTGGAACATCCCCTTTTACTGGGCTGTTATCATGAAGGTACATTGACATCAAACCCGGCATTCAAGTACATTGCTGACTCTTTTAACTCCCAGTACATCTCCGGCCCTATTCTCGCCATCGTCCTCTCCTTCGCCTACCCCAAGTTCACACAACAACACATGTTCGACCCCATCATGATCTACGGCTTCAGCATCGTGCACCTCGTGCTGCCAACTATCGTTCTAGGTCTGCTGATGCCATCCTGGTTCAACTGGATTATCCCGTCCGAGAAGGTTCTTCTCGGTGACAAGCCAGTTGCGCCTTTGGAGACGATTGACAACACGAACGCCATTATGAGGATAGGCAGTGAGGAGACTGGATCAGCGCCGCCGTACGAGGAGCCGAAGATGATGGAGACGAAGTCGACGAAGGTTTGAGAGGCTTTTGTTGGCACTGGATTGCCCGTGCTTTCTGTTGTAATGATAGAGGGGTTGTAGCTGGTGATTAGACACGCTCGCTCATATGTTTGTAATTCGGACTAGCGATATCCCAATCCATGTATCCACACTTCATCAACTACCACGCCCTTCGCAACAAACCCCATACTACACATCCTACCGCGGACTAGCCCTAACCAACCACGCCCTAATCCCCTCCGTATGCCTCCTAGGCAACCCCTCCCACCTCCCCTCATCATACGTCTTATCCATCTCCCTCAGAATCCCCTGCGCCTTCCTCAACTGCAGTCTCTTCGCCCCCGCCCAAGGCGTCTTATCAATAAACGCATCCGCCTCCCCCACCAACTCCATCCGCTTATCCCTCACCTCCTTGCCATCCTCTTTCTCCGCATCACACAACTTACACTGACACCTGAAACCCCATGTCCTCTCCAAGAACCCCTGCCTGGTCTCGTAATCAAGCGACGCGTCGTACGGATGGAAAATCTCCTCGCCGGCTTTGATATGTTGAGTCGCCCGGATGATTATCATATCGCCTGCAAATTCTTTCGTGGTGTTGGACAGACAGGAATGGTTGATATAAGCCGCGTGTCGCCAAAGTCCCGTGCTAGCGTTCCTAGCACTTTCCTCGCCGAATTGACTACCAGGACCGAAACCATTGCGCGACATGATGTCGTGGACGCGGAAGACGTCTACAATAGCACCGTCTTCGTTGCTGAAGATCTGTGGGCCTTCGCCTTGATAGTCGCCGAAAAGGTCCATCAGTTTTTCTGTTTGAGAAGGCTGGTTCAGACATTTCTGGACGAGTGCTTTTGCGAGACCGACGGGTGCGACGCGGATCCGGTCGTCGCGCGTGTCGTACGTCATGGCTGTTAGAGTGTCTTCTTCGTGGCCCCAGACTACGCAGAAGGCCTTTTCACACATTACGATGTCGCCGGTGGTGAGGTCGCGTGTGGCGTATAGGCCGCGGCCTTTTCCGGGACTGTCTTTGATGAGCGTGTTTTTGGTGAAGTTTCCGGCGTCGACTCGGGAGCGGGCTTTGGAGAGGTTGGTTCGGATCTTCATTAGGTCGTAGCCTCCTGTTTCTTCTTCGCGGAGGCGGGCTTCGATTTTCTTGAGTTGGAGTTTGGCGTCTTTGTCGTCGGGGGTCAGCTTTTGTTGCTCGAGGAAGAACTGTTTGGCTTCTTGCCAGTGACTTTGAGCGTACGCGGCTGACCCTGCTCGGAAGTATGCTTTGCTGTCTAGTTCTTTGGACTTTTGATCCTCGCGTCCCGTCAATGAGGCGCGGGCGTCTGTCTTTACTTCATCTAGTCGGCCTAGTAGCAAGTTCACGTATGCGCGATTCCTGGAGATGTCGCAGGCTAGATCGGGGTTCGATTCTGCTAGGATGTCTTGCTTTGCGATCGCTAGACCTGCTGTGTACTTCTCGTGGGCCAACGGCAGATCCTGCTTCTTCAGTGCGTTGTTGCCTTGAGTCTTAAATCTTGTGGCTGCCTTTTCTGCTGCTGCGACATCCTCGAAGCTCTTTGGGCCTTCTTCATGGCAAATGACTAGGTCTGAAGGATGGTCGATGCGTAGTGTAGGTTCGCCCTGTTCAGTGAGAGTGAAGTATGGCTCTTTGATGATGAAGAGCTTGGTCGACTCCAGTACATCCTCGTTATAGCGCGATTTATGCAGCAAGATCTCCAGACGCTCTGCATCAGTTCCATCTTCATTCTGAACCATAGTCCAGGACCTCGCTACGAGGGTGACTACAGGGCTTCCTCGCTTGACCACCAATTTGCGTCCTCGGTGATGTGTCTCCATCTTGAGGTCAGACATCTTCATCGGTTCAAGATCTGACAGCGGAGTTGTGCATGGCGGATACGGCCGGCCTACTCCGATGACTGGAATAGTAGTTGATGTCTTTCCTTGGGTTTGCAGCATGTCTGGATCTGGTGCACCGCCCATATCTGCCATTAGAGCCGCACCAGTGGCAGCCTGGTGAGCAGCCAACTTGTCTCTTGGGGCCTTTGCATTGCCGCTTTGCTCTTCGCACTTTTTGAACCGGTCTTTGATGGTGTTCTGGATGCGTTCCGCCTCTTTCTCTGTGAGGTAGATTGTGTTATCTTCTCGTTGGCTGTTCGCCATCTTTCCGACCTGTGCCGTCAAGCCCCGACCGGCTTCTGCAGATTGGTGACGCAGCGTTGCTGTGGTCCTTATTCGCCCACCAAAATTTCGACCCTTTCCGGATGACCTCGTTGACAGTCGCGGACTGTCAGAAAATTGCGCAACGGGCTGGCGGAAAGACTAGAAAGGGAAGATGAGACGAAAGTACACGACGCGGCACCCAGAGTTAAAGATGATAAAATTGATTTCTGGTTGAGTCAGATTCTTCTTCACTTGAAGTTTGACACCACACGCGCAGGCGCGTTCCGAGGGGTCGAAGCTAGCTGAAATTTGTTATCGATAAATGCGGGGCTAACCGCGACACCTTGGAAAGCGGAACTCGAAGCCGCTCTTGAAGTTTACCAACGCCGAACATTGACCGTGCCAAAGAAGGGCTTCATGATCTACTTCCACACACTTGAACTTTCTGCCCCCGCCTCCTTCCCTTTCTGATAAGTCTCACTCAGACTGTTGTATAGACTCTTGACCCTGTCGATCTCACCCAGCAGCCGCCTCCTCTCGGTCTCATCTTCAATCTCCCCAACGACATCGGCAAAGCTCTTCGCGGTGAAGAACTTGTTCTTGCGATTGTAAAGCTGCCTGCTTTGTACCTGCTCTTCAGTCTCGCCCTGTCCTTGTACCCGAAACACCTCTTGTAGGATGTCGATATCGTATGGTATTCCGAAGAGATCCCTACTATCCTCGTACGTGAACAAGTAATAGAACTCGTTGAACCCCGCCCATGTGATTCCACTCAGACACAATGAACATGGTTCATGTGTAGCGAGAAAGATGCAGTCTTTAGCGGGATGAGGTCGCGTTGATGGGTCAGGGAAGTCGACGGTGCAGAATTGTTGGATGCAGTTGATCTCGCCATGTAAGAGTGGTGAAATGCGCTCGTTGTTTGTAGCGAGAGTGTATGGTGTGAGATCTTTGCGGGATAAAATGGCCGCACCGAAGAGTTTCGAGCCACTTGAGACACCTTTTCGCGTCAGAGGTATGATGCTATCCTCGATGGTAGATAGCAGGCTTGAGACAAGTTCCTCAGGCAGTGGTGATGTTGAGGTTGAGTGGGAAGACATTTCGTGAATGCTGAAACGAGTAGCGGAGATGGATCTCGTGCTGGCTGAGAAATTAACCTTTGAGTATTGTAAGTGTCTTTTTAGACTAGAGACACTGATCCCGCTTATCGCTCGCTGCGCCCGTTGATGAGGTTGTTCCTCATCTACATGTCGGAGGCCACCGGTGGCGCATGCCGCGGGGTCTCCCGATGGGATTATAGCGGGGCGCTACCGTCCGCAGGCATAGACTTCTGGTTCCTTGACTTTGCGATTTCTTTTTTCCTCTGTGCACAACGCCTCGCTCAAGAAGTTGTATCGTGCGACGAACATGCCGCATGAGGCCCATGGGATGCTCGCATGAACGTAGCGCGCACCACCAGTAGGTTGAAAGGTGGCAAATAGCCGTCTGCTCAGCGATGTGCTGTCGGAAGCCTATCATCTGATCCTCAGGTAGCAAGCGTTAATCATTGCTGACAGCATAACACGTGGCTCATTTTGCAACCTGCCCAGGTGTACAGGCACTGTATCAGCCCCCTGCAGTCTCGCATCGAACTTAGGCGCGGACTTACTGGTCAGCCTTCTGCCATGACAATCTGCGGCCGCCTACTTCAACGGTGTTGGGATCTTCTCTCTTGACACCCAAGGCTTACTTCTGTTCAACGATATCCCTCACACGCGATTATCTTAAAGCAGACGCAGCGACACGTTGCCGGCCCTGGAGACCTCGTGATACATCGATCTGGGAGATAGCAGGCCGAGCATCATTACTGGATGCATTAGCTATGCAGGTCTGGGAGGAATTCAGCAGAGATATCATGATGCCGTATTTTTGGAGGCACGTTGGATTGGGTAGATCACAACATACCCCACCCACGGATGTCGAGCAGGGTAACCCTCCGCAGGCTCCGCAAGCTCCGCTCGATCAATTCCCCAAAGGCTTTCCATCGTTGACAGCTTTCATCTCCAGCAACGCCAAATCTGAAAGCTTCATCTTCAAAAGATTTGACTATCTTGCAGCAAGGAATCTACTCTATCTTCAGAGCGAACTGGCCTTTCTCCAACATCGATTGCAGCAATTCGATAAAGCAGACTACAAAGCAAAAGGCGACAGCGGTCAAGAGGCTAGGGATTGCGCGCGTTCCTGGGAGGAGTTCGAACGCAAGAAGAACAGCAACGACGCACAGCGTGAACGCTGGGAATTGGTTCACAGGATCCGAGAAACGTTGCGGGAATATCGTGAGTAGCCTCGTCTGTACCTAATGTGAATGCCATCTCACTGCTGATCTAACCAACCGTATAGAGAAGACACTACTCAGACAAAGCCAAACTGCCGCGCTAGAGACACCTTCGCATAAAGTGCTCGAGGCTTTCAACAGGGAGTTCTACGACAACAACTCTGCCATAGTTGGCCGCGGCAAACACATTTACGAAGACAAAGGGTCAAACATCCAAGACCTCGCACAGTTGCACTCTACAGAGAGGAAGGATCGTGTGAGCACTTTCCTTTTGAAATACATGTTCAACTGGCTACAGGTACGTGAACTGCTGCGTGTCCTGCTTTAGAACTGAGCGCTAAGAACGGAAACAGGCCAAAACAATGGCCGAACAGAACCGTCGCAATCCAAGAGTTTCATATGTTCATGCCAGACGTTTGGATCTCGTAGTCGACATGTTCTTTGCTTTCCTTAGTATATTTCTGTTGTTAGGCGGTATACTTAGCTTATACTTCGTCGAGAACTCTTCATGGCGCATAGCGGTGATTGTCATGTTTACCTTGACCTTCGCCATGTGCGCTATTTTCCTGGCCGATGGCAAGCGACTGGCTGTATCTGCGGCGTGCGCGGCTTATGCTGCCATCCTGGTGGTATTCGTGAGCGGTAATCAGACGCCAGGCGTGGTTACGAAAGGGACAGCTAGATGACATGGGCGTAGAAGCACAGAACGTAGCCAGTTCGAGCAAGCATATAAGACTGAGCTATCGCATACGTGCGTTTCAGGGGTACCAAATACCGCATGTGATAGCCGCAATTTATCGATTGAGCTCACCGGTACAGTCTCACGTAAGCCTAAAATGCGTCAAGGGGGTCGGGACAGGAAGGTGCCGTGCACTAAGGCAGCGGCTGGCGCGATAAGATCTAACTGGAGGCTTAGAAACTAGGCTGACAAGGCTGATACGCAGATCCATTCATCCGCGAAGTACTTGATATGGACAGACATCGCTACTCACACACCTATAGATCGGGTTACTCGGGGAGGTCTTTATAAATTCCTCTTTTCCTCTTTATGCTTCTCCCTTTGTTTCTGCCTCACAACAGTGTTGCTCCAAAATGTCGCAGCAAACCCACCGCGTGAGCGATACTAAAGACAAGAAGGATACGGTTCCGGAAGTTACTTCGAACGATGAGGAAGTCTGCGACGAAGAAGGTTCTGATGATGAATTCCTTGAGCTTGATATATTGCCACTACCCAAGTATGGCGGCACCACGTGGAACAAGGACGATCGCGGTTATGAGAACATCCGTCGTCCATCGATGTTTCCAAACTCAGGTCAGTAGTTCTGAGTTAGCTCCACACACTTCATACCTATAGTAGATCTAATACAATAGTAGCATCCAAGACCCCAGCTTCGTTCGAAACCGTAATCGAAACTTTGGAGAGACAATTGCAAGAAAAGCAAGACGCAAGACGCAGTGAACTTGAAGGAGAAGAAGTGCCGGAAGATCAGATCGAGGCGAAGCTGAAGGCAGAGTTTGGTGAACCTCGGAAAGAGCTACAGCGGAAAAGAGACTCATTGAGAAGGGGGTAAAGTTTAGATCGGAGCCAGACCAGATCGTTTTGAATTCAACCACTCCATAAGCCCACATGGGTATTTGATAGACTCTAGCAAATAGCTCAATGAAAACTCTCTATACCACTACATGGCTCTTTAGTGACGTCTGTGAGCTCTTCACGGGGCTAACAGACAAAGCATTCCATTGCAATCGTGCAACTGAACTTCCACATGTTTACCAAGACAATCCTACAATACAATGATGATACATACAGGCTAAGGGTACGCACAGTTATACAACCAATCCGGATAGACCGCGCTCGATGGCGCAAGTAAACATTAACGGTCCGCTTATCAATTCGGACTCGAAGGCAACAGAACTTCGCTAGCTCTGAAACTTGTCTTCGAATATGTACAGATTTCCAGCGTATTTGGCCGCCTTACGTCTCTTGACTGCTTTTTGATCGATAGCAGCCATAAAGACTTTATCAGAACCGAGATCGTAAAGGATATAGGCGTAGCGGAGGAATGTAACGCCTAGGATATAGTCTTCTCGGGGCTCAGGCAGATCTGCGCCTCTCAGACCGGTGACAATTGCATAAGACCAGTAGCTGGCATATGCTGCTATGCCTAGAAGAATCAGTACAACCTTCTAATTCGAGACGGTGTTCCTCGTACCATGTGTGACGCACGCGGATCTGCTGTATCCCTTTTCCAATGCTTCCTGCGCCGTCACATACCGGAGTATCTCGTGTAAAGGTACGCTGATTTTGGTTTCTCCGAATCGAAAGTTCATCATATCGGTCTCCAGATTCCAGGCACTGCAGTCTGGATAGAGCGCAAATACGCGTTCGGCATTCCACTTGATGGTATGACTACCTAGCAGATCTGCTATGTGATAGAAGGTATCCAAGGGGAGCCATGAGCTGTAAGAACCGGTGTCTAATAAGACCTTAATTCCTCCAGAGTCGGGAAACCACACGGAGTTGTCTTGTACTGTGATCTTGTTTAAGTAGATCTTGATCTTCGTAGGCGCGTCATCAATTTTGTCCCCAACTATGTCGAAACTTTCGGGCGTGCCTCCTTTGTAGAACCCTTTAGCATAGCCACCGAAGAGGAGTTGGACTTCGAACTCGTCATCGTCTGATGTCTCCTCAAACCACATGCTGAAAGCAGTGGACAAAGTCTCATTGCTTTCAAGCAGAAGGTAGGGTAGAGTGCTGTACTTTTTCTCGGACGTTTGGTTTCTGATGTAGCCTAGGCCCACCATACCACTGATCATGTTGGAGGTTCCCGGAAGATTCGCGCCTTCGGAGCTCGTGGCTGCTAGAAACATAGCCGACTTGAGAGTCTTGCCGCTGTAATAGAGTGACCCTTTGAAGTAGTGGCCCTCAACTCTGAGCCCGTCGGAATACTCGAGTTGGTCGGGGGTGCTTTGTTTTGCAAACCATGCTTGAATTTTAGCACAATATTGCTTGGCGTTGAGACTTGTCGTTGTGACGTCTTTCTTATCGCAATGACACCACAGAGTGGAGTCGATCCAAATATCGCTGCTTCCAGTGTCGATAGTGATCATATTCGTTCTCGGATTGAAACATGGTGAAGAAGCGAAGTGCATATCTTCAAAGTAGGGAAAGATTCGTGCTTTGATAGGATGGAGGATTACATCGTTCCGCGGATTTGGACGCCTGAGCCTGGTGAGAAAGTATTTATCTTCCGCGATCTTTCTGCTCTTGTTATAGGTCAGCCCATCGATCAGTGCTATATGATAATGCCATTTCGAGGAGTCATACCTCAAGCGCCAATACAGCGACTTGTACGGCCAAGAAGACTGCACAAATTATGCCTCTCATTTCGAAGTGTAGACAGTGGGTAACGATGTTGCACAGAACGGTAGAGCTTTCGCTAAAGTGATGAAGCAGTTTTGATCGAGGTCATTCGGAGAGCGTTGGTGTCCAAAGGTTGAAGGGGGTCAACATAGATGTTCGACGTCTCGGGACCTGATCTTGGTATGCAGGGACGAGGTACCGATAATGCTTCGTAGATCCAGTGTTTTTGGGGCACTTGATGTGTGCATGGATCTTGAAGGTGCTGCACACATGCATGGGATTGGGTGCGACGTGAGACAGAAGGGTAGTGAGAGCTGTGCGCCTAGCTTGATTCGTTTGTTTTGCTGTCAGCAACAATGTCGCACGACGATCTGTTGGGACCAACCGTAAACCAATAAATATCTTAAAAGTTCAGATATAGGCCGATCGTAAGTACCGGTGAGCTGTATCTGGGGGGGATTGATAGGATTATCTCCTGATTTGGCACGTACGGGGGGCCGACAGGCTGACGGCTATCTTGGGAACAAGGCTGAAACCACCAACCCCGATCTCTGTAGCCGCCCGCTGTTCCAAAATTATTGCCTGCTGTTAATCAGCTGAAAACGCAATTTGCGGTCCCTTTTAGCCTGCCATACGCAAGGTGCCTATAACGTCATGGTCTCCATCTCTTCTCTTGCTGTTCATGAAGCTCATAGCATCAAAAAGTCCTCCGCACAGAATGTTCGGCAAGATCTTGGACCGCAGAACTCGCATTCAGCCAACCAGATACAACCCCGTGTTGTTCCATTCGATTCGCGGCTCGCAGCTAGTTTCGTCTGTTATCGTCTATTGTATACTCTTTTTCTTCGTCCAGCAACTTCTTCATGACAAACAGTACATACCATGGACCTTCATTTTGGTACGTGATTTCTGGTCGACCATCGGTCACACGAGGTTGATGTGGCAAGGGTCGACTCCTCTCGAGCACTGAAACACTTTTTAAGAGGTATCTGTTGCTTTGACAGTCAATCTCTGACCTTCGCGTAGCTTCTCACTGTTTCAGCCATCACAATAGCAGCTCTCATCATTACCACTATCGTCCACTGCTTCAACGGCCTCAATGCACGACTGAATTTGGTTTTAAACAGTGGCCTTCTTCTGATCTGGACAGTAGGCTTCGCCTTATTGACATGGTGGAGCCGTGCAACGCTTTCCCATTCTTGCAGCAGGCGCATCTGGTTGAGTAGCGCAGGAGTCAATATTTGCAGATGCTATAAGGCGTTATTCGCCTTTACCCTGTTCGGCTTGTAAGTATCCTGGTGTACGACTTGCCCGCTCCGTAGGTCTCCGGATGGAAACACATTATTCGCAGGCTCATAAGAACGACGAGAACTCCGCTTACAAATGTCAGTGTCAGCACGATACTTGCTATATGCCTGGATTTCAATGGCTATCGATCGGCTATGCGCCAAGGTCACTACAACCCACCTCAGACTGACCCAATTTCAAACTTGATTCATGAAATCGGGATCCCTTTGCCAGAAAATGAAGAAATCGAGCTGAAGGCCAGCGGGGTCGAAAGCAGGGAAGGCCTGTTGCGGAGATGAACAGCTATCTTAACTGAGGCGCTCTACACAGCTGAGGGATCAGGTAGGATATGGTTTGGTATGAGGTTAAAACGGGCTGGAATAGACGCAATATGAGTACTAGTAGTCGAAGTAGCAATGCTTCAGGCTGCATGTGAGAAGATCCGTTACGGGTGCAGGGCGTGCCAAACTGCTAAGGGGATGCCCGTGCGCGGACGCTAGTGACTCACGTGAGCAGGCGCGGACACGCTCATCGCGTTGTGCATCCTGACATGCTTCACCACCTCAACAGACACTACCCGCCCATGCACACTCAGAAGAAAAATGGTCTAGTTGAATGGTTGTCTGATTAGTTACGCGATTATCGCTACACCACCCTCATAAATCGACAAACTCACCCCTCAGCAGCGGATCGTCGCGCACCTGCTGAAGGTAGCTCTCCACCTTGGCCGTCAACGCAGGCACATCGAATCCGAAGTACTTATAAGCAGCTTTGCCCGGCAAACTGTGCCCGAAGCGCTTCATGCAGCAAGCGGCATCAGCATACCTCTCCCAGCCGTTCGGCGCGAACGGCTCAATGACGACAGCCGGAATACCGCGATGCCTTCGCAGCGTCTCCCGCTTGTATTGTGTGGGTTGGGCATCGAACAATCGCTGACATGGGAAGCTCACGACACGCGCCTTGATATTCTTCGCCTTTAGCTCCTTCGCTGTGTCAACGGCATGGTGCAGTTCTGCGCCGACACCGATAAGCGTCACATCCGCGTCCTCAACCTCGTCGATCACGTACGCGCCCTTCGCCACCAAGTCCCGCTTCGTTTGCGGTAGTTGAGGCAGAGTATGCCGAGACGTCGAGATGATGCTTGGTGTGTTCTTCGCCTCGATCGCTGTAATCCACGCGCCTGCCGTCTCCTCGCTATCGGCCGGTCGAATGTACAAGATATTGGGCATAGCGCGGTAGAGGTTGGCAAGCTCGATTGGCTGATGGGTTGGGCCGTCTTCGCCCATTCCGATGCTGTCGTGCGTAGCCGCATGTATGACCTGAAGGCGTTGCAGCGCACCCATGCGAACGGCTGGGGCTGCGTAGAGGTAGAACATGAAGAAAGAGGATGTAACGGGGATAAAAGTGTTTGGCGCGTATGCTGCCAAACCGTTGGAGATGGCAGCCATGGCATGCTCTCGCACACCATAGTGGATATAGCGTCCGCTGTAGTTGCCGACAATGTCGCATGTGGTCTTCAAGTTGGGCTACGGAGGGTTAGGAACCTCGCATTGAGCTGGATGAGGGCACGACTTACATTTTGGAAGTCGACTTTTCCTTTCCAGTTCATGTTGACTGAAGGGGTCAGATCAGCGGTGCCGACCATGAAGTTGTTGATCTTTTCAGCAATTGTGTTGAAGACAAGGCCTGACGCTTTCCTCGTAGCTGTAGGCGCTTCGGGAAATGAACTTGGGACCAAATCTTTCCAGTTGTCTGTCAGACAACCTTTGACGCGGCGTTTGAAGTCAGCGCCCTCTTCCGGGTACTTGCTCTGGTACTCTGCAACTTTCTTCTCCCACGACTTCACAAGCTCCTCGCCCCTCGTGGGAATGTCTCCGAAGAACTTGCGCACCTCTTCGCTGACAACAAAATGTTCCTCAGGGTTGAAGCCGTACGCTTTCTTCATGTTGGCTACATCAGCTGCTCCGAATGCCATACCATGTGCAGTCGCATCGCCTGCAACAGCACTACCAAGACCAATCACAGTCCGGACGTTGATGAATGTGGGCTTCTCGGTGGATGATCGCGCTTTGTTCAGGGCTTCGACCAGGCCCTCAATGTCAAAACACCCATCCTCGATGTCGATGATATCCCAGCCGCATGCTGCCATCTTGGCGTTGACGTCCTCGGTGTTGGTGAGATCGACTGAACCGTCGCAGGTAACTTGGTTGTTATCGTAGATGATCGTAAGGTTGTTCAGCTTCAGATGGCCAGCGAAAGAGATCGCTTCCAGAGCGACACCTTCTTGCAGGCATGCATCTCCAATCATACACCATGTGTGATTCGACACAACGTCGAAATCCGGTTTGTTGTAGATCGCCTTTAGATTCTTTGTCGCCATCGCCAGTCCGACCGCATTGGCTACACCCTGTCCTAATGGGCCAGTCGTCACCTCGATGCCTTCATGCTCGATCTCGGGATGTCCTGGGCACAACGCGTCGGTGCGTTCTGAGTGGTAAGACTTCAACTGGTCGAAGGTCATGGCTTTGTAGCCTGTGAGATGGAGGAATGTGTATTGGAAAAGACAAGTGTGACCATTCGACAGGACGAATCGATCTCGGTTGAAGTAGTCAGGCGTGTGCGGTGCGTATCGCATGACATATTTCCACAACGCAACACCGATTGCCGCCATACCAATCGCTCCTCTGTCGCATTGTCAACTTCACTGTTCCAATCTCTGGTTGTGGAACTTACCCGGGATGCCCGCCATTGAATTGCTGACAAAGATCCGCGATGAGCAGCCTGAACGTCTTCAAGACGTGATCCTGCTCTTTCGATAACTTCTGGACAGACGACTGTTCCAGCTTCGCCTCTTTCTTCAGTCCATCTACGACATTCTTGCCGTAACCGGTCGAGCCGCCGACCTGCGGTGAATCTTGCGAGGTATGCATTATGTAGGTTGTGCGGAATCTTGCGAGTTGCGAACTTCACAATACAAACATTAGTAGTTCTGCAGATCAAGCAACATCAGGAGGCGCATCATACATAAGTACACCGCGTGCTGTACTGAAAACTAATCTTCGACGTCTATCCAGAACATTTGGCCGGGCATGCCACATTCGGTAATCCGACGCGTCGCTATTGCGGAGGCAAGCTCGGTGTCTTCGATTCCTATTGGACGACAATGCCATCGGCTAGTCGAACACGGAAATCATAGCCACCAACATACTACGTTGTCAGTCCCGCTGGACGTTTCCCCGCATTTTGCCACGACTATTGCGCATTCCGGTCTCCAGGTTAAGGGATGGGATTTCCACTTTGGCAAGGACGGAAATCTGGCGCGCTGAACATGTGGGGCTACTTGATACACCTCTACCCGTTTCCCCCAAGTTGACGACAGGCACTCTTACTGGTAGTGATCGATCTTTGCACCGCGACAAGTAAACATGGCCCCAGGACTGGTAGATACGTCTTCCGCTTCCGAAGCACATGCGGCACCGAAACCTACTCTCAAGACACCGCTGCCGAATCCCTCGCTGCAAGTCACCGCGGACCATAACTTGAAGCTGCAAGAAGCGCCTGTGTATGCGCCAGCAAAGGGAGAGGTACTCTTACACATCAAGGCTACGGGAGTTTGTGGGTAAGGCGCTTCATCTTGACGGGCATTTCCGAAGCTTACGATGATCTGCCAGATCTGACATCCATTTCTGGAAAGCTGGGAGAATAGGCTCACTCGTTGTCGAGGGAGACTGTATCCTCGGCCATGAAGCAGCTGGCATAGTTCTACAATGCGGCGAGGGAGTTACGACTTTGAAGCCTGGTATATCCACTTCTCCGAGTTCAAGATCGATACTAAGAATTATTCCAGGTGATCGTGTAGCAGTCGAACCCGGCGTGCCATGCGGCACATGCTTCCTCTGCATGGACGGTCGATACAACCTCTGTGAAGAAGTCCAATTCGCCGGCGTCTACCCCTACCACGGCACGATCCAACGCTACAAAACGCATCCCGCGAAATGGTGCCACGTACTCCCCTCCAGCGTATCCTATGCCGAAGGTGCACTTCTCGAACCACTTTCCGTCGTCATGCACGGTATCAAATCCGCCGGCCTATCTCTAGGCCGCGGTGCAGTCATCTGCGGCGCAGGCCCCATCGGTCTCATCGCGCTTGCTGCAGCGAGAGCAAGCGGAGCGCATCCGCTTGTCATCACGGATCTTGAGCCTAAGCGCCTGGCATTCGCAAAGCAATTCGTACCGACGGCCATGACATACCAGGTCGATCGCAACCTAGATGCGCAGGGTAATGCGAAGAAGATTAGAGAGTTGTTCGACTTCGAGAATGGAGGTGAGTATGGTGCACCGGAGACTGTGCTAGAGTGCACGGGTGTGGAGAGCAGTGTAGTTACAGCTGCGTATACGGCGAGGAGAGGGGGCACGGTCATGGTGATTGGGGTTGGGAGGGAGATTATGAATAATCTGCCGTTTATGCATTTGAGTCTTGCTGAGGTATGTTGGCAGCAGTTCATCTTGTTTACGTTGGTGAGCAAGTTTGAGAGTGTTTTTGCTGATGACTGCTTTAGATCAATCTCAAGTTCATCAATCGATACCGCGATACTTGGCCTTCTGGCCTTCAGTGTTTGGCAGGTGGTATCCTTGATCTGAAGCCACTTGTCAGTCACACCTTCCCGTTGGAGAAGGCGCTGGATGCTTTGCATACGTGTGGGGATCTGAGCAATGGCAGTATCAAGGTGCAGATTATTGACGAGGTAGACGATGTGTTGTAGAACATTCATCTCGACGAAAGTTTGGATGAGGTGTTCGTCAATCGAGTCAAGGCGAGAAAATTGAGAACGTATGGACGCATGCTCAGGCTATGGATTAGATGATCAAGCAGAAGGAAGCCGCATAGATTGCTGAGGTCAAGTGATAACATAGCAAATCGCAACGTCGCTTGAACAGCAATCTCAAAACCTATATGGAAGAGACGACATATTCCGCTAGATTTACTTCTCGACTGTCCGTACTCAACTCTTCCGCATCCATAGGTGATCAGACACACCTGAAGACATGCCATTTGACTGTACAGGTCTAGCTGATCTATTGACGCGCTTCACACCAGTCCAGGACAGCGTGTTGCGCTATCTCGACATCGGGGATATCATCGCACTCTCACGCGCCGCAAAGGCGTTTAGTGATTATGTGCGCCTGGTCGAGCGAACGCAGTTTAATATCAACGAAAAGCTGAAGGTGGTTGTGACAAGTCCGAACGCGTTTCGCTCGCTACAGGCGAAGCACAACATCCTTATCAGCGGATCTTTTGCGTTCGGCTTCATGCTGAGAATACCGCTCAACTTCCGCTTGTTTGATATCCCTACGACTATGCTGGACAGGCTCTTAGTGGAGAAAGGCCCACATGCCGAGGCCCTGAGATCGTTTCTCGAAAACGATGGTTACAGGGTCAAGGACAGCTCCATCCCAAACGTAGGTGCTCTGTTGTCGCATCGACGAGCTTTTGCCGTCTTTGAAGTCGCTGACCACAGGCTTAGCACCCTTTCATGGAACGCGATACCGCCAGGGGCCGTCAAACCGTCTACATTCGAGAGACGGAATATACGTCTCTCTTCAAAATGTTGAACTTGGACTTGACTTGCGACGTCAACTTCGTTACCTGGAATAAAGCATACTCTGTGTTCCCATACCAGACTTTCATTCTGAAGCAAGGTCACCTACTTAGGGACATGAAGCATTGGGAACATCTTCCACAGGATCTGGCCAGATGGATGCGTGTTGGGTTTGACATCGCCCCTTCCACTCTTCAGGATGCGCTCCCTCCACATGCGAGAACCGACTCTACTTCTACACTTCTGGGAATCCGGTTGGTCGGTGATAAGAAATCCTGGGTTGTACCGCTAAAGACTGACTTGGTCGAGCCATCGCCCTTCCCCGACCTTCTCATCGACTATGCTGGCTTTGAGGTGACTAGTTCCCTGAAGGACGAAGCCGAGACTCTGCTAGATCCCTCATCTCCTCCGTTCAACCATTACACCATTGAGATGACGGTCGTCAAAAGCCTTGCATTGCGCCATCAGTATGTTTTCCCCGACAAAGCTTACTCAGAGCAACACCGCTTTCGAGATCGCACAATCTTACAACTCTACACTCTAGGCGTTGCGAGGCGACCATCGGGATTTGCGCACATCTTTGCTCAGACCAACCGTCCGAATCTACGTGACATTGCAGGATTTGTACCACCGGATAGGTGGAAGTATTACGATGACGAGATGCTCAAGATGTTAGATATGAGGTATCCGGGGGCTATTCAGGTAGCTCCAGGGGAAGTAGCGGAGAAGTAGGATCATTGTATATTGCGATCGCGAAACAATTAGCATCAAAACGTTGTACGCCGTACCACGAAGAATTTAACTACCATGTAATTGCTCTCTAGGGTAGCCTCATCAGTATGCGATGCCACCGTAACTTACCATGCATCCCCTGACACGCCATCCTCCCCACGAATTCTCATGCAGCAACCCAGCAGCCCGTAACTATCTTTATCCACAAACGCCCATCTTACCCCAGTATCTCCTCTCCATGTTCCTTCAGCCCCAAACGCCATCCATGATCCTTCTTTCTGCATCCTGCAACCCGCATCCTCCCACCTCCTCGGTAACCGAAAACCCCGGACCCAGCTATTTCAAGTACCCACCCGCGCATATCTAGGGCAAGACACGTGCCCAGCACATCTGCAACGCATCACAAAACAAGAAAGGTCTACTATGCGGCAGCTGGATGTGGGGGCCGGGTAGCGGGAATAACGCGTCAAAAGACATGGGATGAATGGGAGTCGGCGTCCAGCAGGATTATAGTCGCCGAAACCACGGGAACGTGAAACGGGGGTTCTCGTACGTGGGGTCTGGAAATGCAGGGCTTCCAGGATAGCTCTAGTGTTGCGCGAAGGGTGGGCTAAGTGTTTCAGGAAGTGTGTGTATACGTGAAGGTAGGAGGTTATACGGGTGTATCAGCTGAGCGGGGCATGATGCGACTTCATTCCCAGGGCCCCCTGTGCACACGCGGAGTTGGTTTGAGAGTTGTAATGTATACTGTGAATTCGCTGTAAAAATGCAGACAATGCAATGAGGTGGAGCGGTGATGTCGTGCCCAAATGAGTATGATCCCATACCTCCCATCTAAGTAACATGCTTGTGAACTCATTTGACCGCCTTGGACGTGGCGTCATGCTCACTAGCATCATCATCCAAATCGTCGTCCCATTCATCTCTCCTTACACCGCTCTGTTCAGCCACTGAAGTAGCACCAGGCGGTGGCGCATCGTCGTCGCTCTCGTCCTCGAACGCAGCTGGATCGGCCAGTGGCTGACTCTCTGGATCTACATTTCTTCTCTCTTCGGGACTCGTCCTCTTTGGCGCACCCTCTACTCCTTCATCGGCAGAAACGGAAATGCCCCTCCGACCCCATTTGTTCTTCGGTTGTGTGGTATCGTTGCGTTGACCAGCGGTCTCCTCGTCGTAGTCGAAGTCCATGCTCTTCCTGCCCACAAACCGGCCAACGATCCATCCGCGACCCAGATCTTCTGAGTCTACTACGCCGCCGTGTCGGAGCTTCACGCGCTGGCGCGTGTAGTATACCCATGCGAAGTCGATCATGAGTGCCGTCTGTATAGAGCCCCAGACCCACGAGGTAGGATCGAGATAGTCGTCCTCCTTGACGCCGCGCATGATCCAGTTCAGCACATATAGGGCGCGGTATGTACCCAGTGTAACTAGGTAGTAGGAGTCGATGACGGTGGGTACGGTGGTTTGGCGGAGGAGGAGCAGTTGCGGGATGACGCAAACGGATTCAAGGATTTCGGAAAAGACCCAGAGAATCTATCATGTCAGCATCTAGTCGAGTTTCTGAGGGTGTGTGAGCATCTTACCTTCATAAAGGTGCTGTGCCCGAGAACGTGATTCCTAAACATAAGGTACCAGAATGGGGTGATGAGGATGCTGCCTAGCAGACAGTACATGCCAAACTTCCATGCCTTCTCTCGCTCCCGTGTGCGCGCGTATACACTTGTCATCAAGAAGATGATGTATAGCGATGATAGCGTATAGAATATCTGACCGGTTAGCCGCGTACGCGTGGACGTATGCCGGGCCTCCGTACCTTCAGCGAGAAGTTCCACGTATGCCACCCATCTTTGGTGATGGAAGAGCTGAAGATATCGAGATATCGCGTGCCGAAGACGAGCGCGTAGAGGACCTGGGTGATGAGAGACACACCTGCATACGTCAGCCCGTGTTGCAAGCTTCAAGTGGTGATAAAGCCAACTCACCCTCAGCGCTGCTGTTGGAGTGTATCGCCCATATCAGTATCAGCTTCGATGACGTATGCGAGACGTCGCCGAGGATGTGGAAGAGGTTAAACCCCGTCATTTTGGGGATAAATAATGCTATGCGACGGCTACACAGCACTAGGCCAGCCGCCTGTCGCCTACGTGTTGGGGCTCAAAGCGCGCTTCCGGCACTCGGTGCCAATAAGAGGGTCGGGGATAGACAGGTGCCGGCGCGAGGATGTGCAGCACCACTTCCGGTAGGATTTGGGGTCGAGGATAGGAAAGGACGGGGAGGCGATGGGCGGGCTGGTTGGTGATGCGTAACGTCTTCCCCGGGTTTGACGCAAGCTACCACGCTACATGTAACGTGCTTGGCAATTCCCAAGGGTCTACACTAGCGCCTCACATGCGGCCTAGTCGCTCGAGCTAGCCTGGAGAATCGGAACGCGAGGCTGCAAACTCCACATCTGGTTCTGAGATATATGGTCTAGCTTCGAGGATTTGCAGGAGATTAAAGATTGTTGGCGAGCTTAGACGATGTTGAGAATTGCGTTTGCATGCATGCGTCTTTCTCGATAGGCGGTCGGACTGTGCACCGATCCGGCATAGGCTACCGACTGCTTGGTCGGAACGCTCATCGTGACCTTGTAGCTCAGAAGTTTTGATCTACTAAAACCCGTTCTCAGCAAGCGTAACTTTTAGATCGATCCGTATATCACTCGAGGGGCAGCATTTGCGAGGCCGGGTGCCAGTGGATCCGCACTAGATGACCCCGAGAGGCTCGTTTCGCTTTTGAACCACAGCGCGCGTGCTTGTGCGAGTCGAAGTATGTCACAAAAGGATTGCTGCATATCGCACAAAGAGTTGAAGTCAAAAGCGGGACCACATTACAAATGTATGGCACGATGATAGTCGGGCGGTGTGAGGCGCAGCGAGCGAGCCAAGCAGACATTGTGGCTCAACTTACGCCCTGTGCTATTCCGAGATGCGAAGTCCACACAGCCTTGCAAACGAGCGTCTATATCGTCCATAGATCCCGTCGCAGTATTTCAGTAAGTCGGATAGTGAACTACAGCGCCGCATAGGTGCCACTTGCAGCCTCATATCGGTGTTTCTTGCGGCGAAGATCATGGACGCCTGGGTCAGGACTCCAAGGCATCCAACGTGGCGCGCGGGACGGATGGCAGCATCCTTAGGCCAGGTACGCAATCCTTCGCTGTACCTACGTATACTTCGAGAAGGTCATATGAGCTCCGTATCCGTAACGGTGAAGATGTTGCCGACTCTAGGCGGGCATGCAGTGGTTGCGATGTGAGTGGCCAACTTCGTCACTTCGCAATATCTCAGGCAAAAGTGCGGATCCAGCCCTCAGGCCGCGTGCAACAGTACACTGTACGGCGTAGTTATTGCAAATACCCGCGATAGAACAGATCCACCAAGTGCCGCAACGTGTATGTTTCCATTTTCACTTCGGAACGGTTGTCAACCGGGAAGGCTGAGTGAATCAAGGCAGATTCTGCGCCCATAAAAAAAGCAAGACAAAAACTGCAAGTCGGAGGACGAACGTAAAACAATGGAGTCGCAGCTATATCAAGAGTCAAAAGGCAGTGTACCAAGATCTGGAGCCGCCGCGTGCTGCGGTCGCAAAGTTCAGTGCGTCACCATGGGCACCACCCACGCTCCACTTCACGGAAAGACCATGAAGGACGCTCTTCAACACAAGAAGTGTCGCAGGTATTCTGCCGATACGAAGCCCCCGACGAAACACGGCAAACAAAGTAACGAGTGAGGATCACCGTTGGAAGACAACAAGGAAGCGGGGTCTTCGGGCGCTGGACCGCCGCACAAACGAAGTCTTTTAGCCGTTCAACAACGCACAGCCCAGATTGACTAGTAGCAGATATGTACCATGGCGGTGGGGGGTCACACCCACTGAGCATTGTGCGGAAGGTCGCTGTCGGCGGTATTCCACGGAGCAGACCCGTGGTGTGGGGCGAGAATCGACATGGCAGACGTACACGCTAGCAAGCGACGTGATGTAGATAGCAGTGGTGGCAGTGATCTTCGCTGATATCGTGAGCGAGTGCTGTGTGAGAGGTGCGACGAAGAGGAGGTGAGTTGGAAGGGTGGGAACAAGGACGAAAGGGGCGAATTAGCGGTCATTGCCCAGCCGAAGCGTATATTAGCGGCCAATAGAAATTACCGCAAGCGTGCATTTAAGCGCCGTCGCGTCCTTCGCTTTCAGCTTACGCACCCTATGCGGGGCAATTTACTGGCTTTGAGGCAGCTCGACGGCACAGCTGTCCAGGCGCACCGAATGGGAAGACACGGCTGGCCAAATTTCCTCGCTGCTGCGCGATGGAGTGCACCCCTTGTTGACGGCATCCTATGGCGCCGCCAGCACAGACAGGTTCGTCAATATCACGCTGCATCGAAAAGAGATTAACCCGCTGGGTCGCGATTGTGGGAGGAGTCTCAGACGTCAGGGCCGACGTCAGGGCCGACGTCAGGGTGGCCGCCTTACTGAAGGTTACATTCGACTTCCACCCTCAAAAACCACAGGTATGCGCACTAGCCACGATGCCGTGTAGCGGGCACACCCTGGCCGGCCAGGCGTGTAGCGGAATCCGATAGCAAGGCTGCCGCGACGCCCACACGGTCATGATCACCGTTGTTGCAGGACACCACCTAGAAAACCCAGCGCAGCGTTCCGGGCCAGCAAATGGGCCGGACACAACCGTCGAGCAACGCTGCATGGCTGGCCAATTCGCGGCTCAAGCGCAAGGCATGGCATGCTGGGGTTAGGGCCGCCAAACCACGTAGAGACAAGAGAAGAGCAGGGTGAAAGCTCGGGGCGCTAACGTGCAGGCCTGACCGTCAGTGCGCAGCAGCATCCTTCAAAGCCTACTGGGGGTGGCACGTTAGAGTCGACGCACTAGAAGTGACCTGCACTCGAGGCCGCTATACCGCTACCATCTTGATAAATATGACTGAGGCGTTCCCCTAGCCTAGTCGTCCAGCTCGAGCCTGAATATCATCACCGTGCGCCGCATCCTCTTCTTGCTACCGCCCGTCTCCAGTCTGCTACATTAGCGACCAGCAGTAAGGCGCAGCACATAAGGTTCTTCAAATCCTACCCACAGCCGCAGTTGTCATGTCTATCATACTTGAAGGTGCTATCCTCCCTCCGCATCATCTCCAAGACAAGTCAGCCTCGTCCTGGCCAAGTCCCTACCACCCTCAGTACTACCCCGCGTTGGCCTCCTCGCCTGGCACTATGTCTCCACAGTCGTTCCATTCATACAATCCACGCTTGCCAGAAAGCCCTCTGCCTTCTCAAGAGCTCAACTGTCAGCCGACTACTGGGTGGTATGCCCCCTCAATTTCGGCCCCAGAGTGCCACAGCGAGGTTTGTACTTCACCCTTGTTGCGAGATCGGCTGCTCATATGCCGTCGTCTAGACCACATACGCCTCATATGGCTATATACCTCCACACACGACGCAGGTCAACTTGTCACCACCTGCGTCTGCATCCTACTACTCAGCAACAGCTCCAGTGTCCACTACGCATTCAACAACAGCCATCTCTCCAGGTACCGTCTACTCTCGGGAATCCGTGGTACCAGAGTCAACACGGCCATCTGAAGAGCCCCAATCCGACGCAAGGACTGTCTTGCATCAGCCCACTTCTCGCTACAGGAGACAGTCTCACTTTATGGACCGGACTCACAGCGGTTCAGACTCGTTGCACTCGGCCGCAGTGGACGGCTCCTGGACGATGAACGCACTAGGCATTCATGCGAACCACGAAGCCTACTATCCGGCATTCCCAACCCATAGTCCTCGCGTGAGTGAGCCATCAACAGAGCTATCGTCAAGCCACATGCCCTCGCCACAACCCCGACGCATGTACACACCGATCGCTCCTCTACCCCTGGAGACACCCCGTTCGCACGGAACCAAGCGACAGAGGGAAGACGACGAAGAAGAAGAGCCCAAGCGAAGAAAGCGGTCGGACTCACAGATATCGTCCCAGTTTGAGCTCAGTGAGGAAGACCGTCTACTTCTTCGGCTCAAAGAGGAAGAGCACATGCCTTGGAAGGACATCGCAGCACGCTTTGTCAAAGACTTCGGCAGGCAGTACCAAATACCCGCACTGCAGATGCGTATCAAGCGACTAAAAGAACGGATGCGTCAGTGGACTGAAGTAGACGTCCAAGCACTGCGCAAAGCCCATGACTACTGGGTGCAAAACAAGTTCGACATCATCGCGCAAAAGGTATGTAACACCACCATCGATTCCAAGTACAGCCACTGACTCCTCTAGATGCTCGATTACGGCGCAGAAGAAAAATGGACCGCACGCCAATGCTCTCGCAAATGGCAAGAGATCGATCCAACACCCATACCCTACACGCAGTTCGACCACCACGTCCAGCACGTCCAGCAAGGCTTTGCACCCTACGCGATGAGCCCCATCGAGCCCACGCCCATGAACTTCCCTCCCTTCCTGCACCAGCACCATACCACCTAGTCAACCTCGCCAGTGTCAGCCTCGCTTATTACGGCAGGAGGATGCGGGTAAACCACGCCGCATCGCTCTTCCTTTCTGATTCTTCCACTCCTAGGGATTGTCCCATCGGGGCAACATGTCTAAGTCTAAACGCTTCCCGCGATGCGGCACAGACACACCGGCGTTTAGCAAAGCGAGAGAGAAAAAACGGGCGGCTTGCATGGGCTTGGGTCAGGGAGTTCTATGGGGCACAGCAAGCAGCAACCAGCGCGCAACGCCTTCTTAACGTTCGCCTTTTATGTCATTTATCTTCTTCTTTCGCTCGATACCCTTGCTTAACTAACTACATTTGTTGAGTTATCTTATTTCAAATACATACAACGATCATCTTCATCTCCTTTCCTGTTGTTGAGTCGCAGCTAGATCTCACAGGCCATCTGCGCGGCCCCCTTCTTCTGCTTCCCCATGTACAACACGCGCACATCACATATCCCTGCTGCGCGTCTTTTCGGTTGTTGCAAGCTTCAAAGACAGCGCGTCTGCATCTACACGTGGAATGAGACAAAACGAGATCGCGTATCTCGCTCCCAAAACCGTTAAACCCTTCTTCATCTTCCCTTTCTGTCGCTCGCGCATGCGCTTTTCGCACCGCCCTAACTAACCTTATGCCGCCTTGTGGGGCCCTCGTTTTTGTTCTGGTCCCTCGCTCCTTCTTCAACGGGGCACCCATCTCCGTTACCACACACCCACCTGTGCCGAACTGCGCCGCAATACAGTACAGTCGTGCCGCAATCACGATTGTATCGATTTTTGGCGCACTGGTTTCAGATGTCTTAATAGAAAGCGCTGTGACAGGTTCGCTTACGACTTGACAAGGCTCTATTTATTTTTTTCGCGGCTGCTCATGTGGTTAGTGGACACGAGACAACCGTTTTGTGCGGCAGAGGTTTGGGGCTTGGGCTTTCACCCGCGCGGCTCGCGTGTCTTGAGGGCGGCACGGTGGTGGTGGTGCCGTACCTTCGCGCAGAAGGTTTGGAGATGGGTGCGGCGCCGCAATCGGGCCTTTCGTGTCTTGGTGCCCTGCCCGCTATGGAGAAGCGATGGACACTGTTACATTGTGCGTTCCTTCGTGTGAATCCTGTCAAAGGGCACGGGGACATGACGTGCTTTCGCGATGAATGCCAATGCGCGCGTAGTCTGCCTTGATGATGCAGGTCACGCATTCGGGTCTGTTACGTATAGCACTGCGCATTCTGTTCTGTGGCCTGGGTAAGATGCATCATCGCTGTGGCTGCGCTATTTGCTTAGCTATGACGGTACGCATGGGTCGTGTGCCTCCCCTACCTCCGACTTTTCCGAGTATATCGGTGCTTGTGTAAGAAATGTTAGTAGTAAGAAGGCGTGATCGACGCCAGCATCCCTCGTATACCTCCATTCCAAGCTCGTGACTGGTCAGCATAGTCAGCCCTATGTGTAAGCTACGTGGTACAGTCCCTTCTCCACGCGAGCACGTAACAACTTACCTACATGCCACTGTTGTAGTATGCATGGGCTCATAGCGCGAGTATGCTAGGGGGTCTCAGCTACGCACACCGTACCTATCCTCGTCATCATCCCCTGCGTCTGCCACTATCTTACTGAGGTAGTTTCACATTCTTAGTGATGTCTGGTCGAGACCATTCTTCGGCAGATGCACCAAGCACTGACAGACTGATTTAGCCAGTGCGATTGGAAGGCACGGGTGCCATGCGGTCTCCTGGGGCGTAGACCAAGGAGATCAGCAAGATGAACGGTCCTTACATAACGCTGTGCCGACTTGCGTATGTGGGTAGATTCTGATATTGACATCTAGCACTGAGCTCATGCTGATGTTGCGGAGAAGAGGAGCTCGGCCGTATCAACCCCCGGCTGATAGACTACCACAGGCGTATAGAGGATGGTAGTATCACATCTCCACACCATGTGGGGATCTGAGCAGGAACACCGGCTCCTACGTGCCGTGACATTGTATCTGTCAATCAAGGGCCCCGCAATCCTGAGTTCCCCTTAAGCTGTCAGTCGCTCTTCAAACGGCACGGGTGGCGCCGGTATGCACGACAAGAACTCTCGTCACACTGTCTATATCCTTCAGTGCTGCGACATCCTTTGCGCCGAGTGCTCTCCTACACGCACTGTAGATGTAACAGGTGGACGACGTCTACGTACTGAGTGTAAGCACTGCTGTCAGAAGCTCGAGCTCCATGCACGATGCCACCGAGACTTTCGCGGCAGTTTCACTCGACGCATGGACAATGGCTTCGAATACGGTCTGACGTGTACCACACATCTACCAGATCCAGCACGAGCACGGGTAGAAGTAGAATCTGGACGATGCTGATGGACCGCGCGGTGTAATATCATGCATCTGGTGGCTATGACTGGTCAGCGCGTTTCGAAATCTTGTGGATGGCGACGAACGATTTGCTTGGTGATCGCCCGTGGCTTGCTCGGAAGGAGGGAGCTTTCACGTCACAAGCCCTAGTCAGCTTACATCCGCTCGCCAAGGCAGTCGCGGACCGCGATGAAGACCGGTTCGTTGCGCATGTACGCAGCTTACTTCTCCTCGACGTCGCCAGCGGCCCGAACGGCCCTACGCTCGAGTTGAAAAACGGCTGGTAGCGGCCTTTCGCGTAGAACTGCCAATGGAAGTGGTGGTAAGAGTCAGGATTTAGTCTGATAGACTTCTTCTAGAAGTCTTAATAGGCTGCTTATCATCTTAGACTAAGCCTCCGAGAACGCGCTGTAGCCAGTAGTAAGCTTCGTCGTCCGCGTGTGCTGTATACCCCCACGTTCCTGCGTCGTCGCGCATCACGCAGCGATCGGAACCTACCGCCATTCTACTTGGCTGGTCGTTGACCGCTGACGGCAGGACAGTGTTCCACGTTCTTCTTCCGAGCATGAGTGCCAATAGCGGCGAGACTCAGACGCAGGATGCGGACTAGTACACTCGGGGTAGGTGACATTGTTCGAATCTTCGGGATCGCCTCCGCATTGCCGAACACGCGATAAGACAACGACCAGAGTCAGTGGAAAAAGATCCCTGTAGCTGTGAATGACGCATGGAGCGACGGTTGAGGCTTGCGTCGAGGGGTTGAAACAGATCAGGAAATGGTTTGACTGGGTCGTGAGGTAGACAGAAGGGCAAGCAATGTGACAATGACAGAGGAGCTGCAGTTGACGACTCGACCGGGTTAGTGTTTCATGATCTACGCCCCACATTAGCAAAGGAGTGGAAGCGAAGTGTTTCCCGTCTCTGCCACCCAGACGATAGAGTCAGTCGATCATGGCAAATATTGTTGAACTGCACATGTTTTAGCCGCATCGCATGGGTTTCCAGAGGTGGCACAGAAGCGGCCAGATGCTAGACCCTATGAAGTCACCCTGCACGTGCGTGTCGTGTCAGCGTGCATCCCTTCACGGCTCACCGGTGGTACTACAGGCTGCCGAACCACTCGTTCACAAGCTCATGGTCGGACAAGCTTCAAGGCTCCGGCAAAGATCGATCTCTATTCCGATAATGCGATCGGCATCCATCGAAAATCAGTCGTACAAAACTCTTCGGCTAATGTTGGAAAGCTGTCGTGCTACACTCCGTGGAGTTGAGAAACGTAAACCGACTCCTGAGACGCTGCCGGGGTGCCGAACCAAAGGCCAGTCCATCGGTGTGTCGGAGGAACGAGTTAGGCCTGCAACCTGCTATCCTCTTGCAGAAAGCACATACTCTTTACGCGACCCAGAGGTCCAAAAAGGAGGGGGGTCGGGACGTTTCAGGTCCGTGGGCTCGCATGCGCAACGTGGTATTGTAATTATCCATAGTGTCAGGCGCCTATTCGCGTGCGTTCGCCCCACCAGCTTTCGCCAGTCTGCAGCGTCTTCTCCAGATCTTCTTCGGCCCTTCTAGCGCTGACAAAGGGCCCGTCATCTCGGATCCCGTGCAGCTGAGGCCCGCGAAGCCGCCTGGGGTTCGCATGAGAGCTGGGAGCTCGATGCCTGTCTTGCTTCGCATATATGTGTTGAGCGTAAGAGGCGTCAATAACGGCGGTGATCGCTGGGTAAACAGTTGCAGAGTGACAGGAAAGAGCGGCAATTTGCCTAATTATGTGCTGCTACATTGGGTTGATTTGCTGCGTCATATGTCCTTAAGGGGCGGCTGCGAATTGATATTAATATTGCCGTTTTGGGACGAATCTCGTGGTAAGAGGCGCAGGCGCCATTGAGGTTAATTTGGTAGTAAAAAGACCCAGAGAGAAGCGGTGACGATGAAGTAACTCAAAAGTCCGATGGACTGACGATGAAGAAGTTTTATTTCGCTATTCGGTGTAGCTAGGTAGGTGATCTTGCTCCTGACGCGTCATTAGTCTTCGGCCTTGGCGCTTTATGTCCGCTATTTCCAGGTTCACCGGAGTATACTCCTACAGGTATCATCCCGTCCTTGAGGCAACAGCCGCTCAAGATATATAACTATTTCCATTCATTCCGTTGCAAAGGTACTATGCGTACTGCTGCCCTCACAAGATTGTCAAATCTACGTTCTCAATTGCCCCTTCCCAGATCACCTCGGTCCTTCCATACGTCATCAGCAATCATGGCAGGGCTCACCATCAACTCGCAACAGACCATGCCATCAGGCTACAAGATCCCCGTTCTCGGATATGGCGTATACCAAACACCAGCAGACATCGCTTCCGAGGTGGTTGAGCACGCGCTCAAAGTCGGCTATCGCCATGTTGATTCTGCCGTCGCCTACCGGAACGAGCAACCATCTGCGGAAGGCATGAAGAAGTCGGGCATTCCAAGAGAAGAGCTATTCTTCACGACAAAGATCCCTCCGAAAGACATGAGCTACGAGAACTCGAAACAGCACATTGAAAACACCCTCAAGATCACCGGATTCGATTACATCGATCTCTACCTCCTGCACAGTCCCTACGGCGGTAAGGAGAACCGCATCGGTGCGTGGAAAGCGCTCGTTGAGGGTGTGCAGGCAGGCAAGATTCGATCGATTGGCGTTTCGAACTACGGCGTGCATCATCTAGATGAGCTAGAAGCGTGGATCAAAGAAACCGAGGCAAAAGAGGGGAAGGGCAAGGGTGGAGTGCTCAGCGTCAATCAGGTAGAGCTTCACCCGTGGCTCGCGCGTCCAGATATCGTAGACTGGTGCAAGCAGCGAGGTGTGTTATGCGAAGCATACAGTCCAATCGTGCGCGCAACAAAAAACGACGATCCGCTGCTCAAGCCACTCGCGAAGAAGTACAACAAGACGCCTTCGCAGATATTGCTGAGATGGAGTATACAGATGGTGAGCGTGAATGCAATAACTCTTTGCTAGGGAGCAATGGACTGATGTTGCTGTTACAGGGATTCATACCGCTCCCCAAATCCGTAACCAAATCTCGCATCGAGGAGAACGCCCAAATCTATGACTTCGAGCTCACAGCCGAAGAGATGAAGAGCCTGGATACCGGAGTGTATGAGCCCTGCGCATGGGATCCCACCGTCAGTCACGACTAAAGTCGTGAACATATGCATGTATCTACCGAGAAGCCAACGTAGATTCAAGGTTCAGAGCTCATGTCGTTCCACATCGGAAATCCGTGTCCATAGTTTCCAGGGCTTCTACCCGTGGAGTGAGCACGAACATCGGGTAGTGTGGCCACTGATCATCCACCACACACCAGTCTTCCATATCAACATCTGCTTTCGCTTCACATTTTACATGTGCTCTTGGGGTTTCCCAGAGCCAATTCCGTGTCCAGTCACCAATCCAAAAAGTTGCTCTTTCCAGCTCTTGCCCTTGCTTCTTGTCTCGCATGTAATTGAAGATATTCAGCGCATCCTTTTTGTTGAGAAATAGGTATCTGCCGCCTTCTGCCTCTGCGTGCTGTTCTCCGAGGGCGCGGAGCTCTTTGTAACTCCACTCCCGTGGCCCGAGTATGTCTATCCAAAAGTCTGCTTCTCGTAGCGTGGGTATGGAAACGATCTTTCCCAGCGTTTCCAAGGGTGAGCTGCTAGCGTTACGGAAGATGTTTATACTTAGATGCTTGACTTGCTTTGCGCTCTTTCTGATCATCTGAATCTCGTCGTCGAGATCGCCGTCATACCTCCATGGATGATGCTCAGTATCCCAGCGCATCTCAAGACTCTCCAAAGATCCGCCCTGCTGGTTCAGAATATCTTCGAAGAGGACGGTGTCGCGCTTGCCGTTGACAAGAGACAGATGCGTCAGCGTGTTCTTTGGCAAGCCGAGGATGAGTTCGCTGTCTGTCGTGTTCAGCGAGCGCAACGCTCGCGACTGCGAGAGAACCTTCCGCACGCTTTCCGGGACGGTGTCTACAGAAAGCTCCTCGATACGCGTCCAGTTCATTGCGTCAAGCCACAGCTCTGCGTTGGTCTTCTCGCACTGCTCTTTCGATTGAGTGCGCCATCTAAGCCAGCTTCTCCAATGGCCTTTGTAAACCCAATACAATGTGTCCATGAAACATTCCAGCTTGCCTGGCGCTAGACACTTCGGCCCTTTCCAAATTTCGTGATGCTGCCATGTCTCCCACTGATAGCCTTCAACCTTCAAAGATTTGATATCGGGATATTTCTCACCGCCGAAAGGGCTGAGCGGTAGGTTCATCCGGTCGGGCCATGTACTGCAGGACCCGTAGACACCGATGTCGAGGGTGGATATGTTAGGGCAGGTAAGGAGGGCTGAGTGGACGGAGTCCCAGGTTGTGAAGGGTGTGACGTCGTATGGGTAGCGGCCGTCGAGGGACCGGGAATGGTCAGCCTCAATTTTTGCCTCGATGGAAGTGGGACAGGGGTCTTTTGAATCCCATAGCGCTAGCGCAGTTGACAGGATGGAAAAAAGAAAGAATACGTGAGTGTAGAGGCGCATAGTAGCTAATGTGCAGGATGGTCAGTGGCGATGTCAGCAGTGTTGAGTATCGATGCATCATCTAGCTGGAGTCCGCCTGATATAACGTCTGTTCTGCTACAGGATGATTCAAACTATGCGTGATGTTGTTATGTTGTCTTCTTGGAGTTTTTACTGTTGCCTGAACGCGACGGCCTCAACAAGGTTCTTGCACGACTTTCAGGCGTCCAGGACTGCGATTCTTGCGCTGTGGACACATGTGTGATGCTGCTGGTTTCCTGTGGCACGAATCTTAGGGCCCAGTGTGCTTGACACCTTTACAGGCGTTATTCTGCAGCCTGGCTATATACATTTCGTTCTCTTGCAGTTGCGTACGCTCGTAGTGAAAGTTTGGAGGAGTTGAGGAATTGAGATGGATGGCACAAGCGAGTCATCTCGCGATGAGGGACGAGTCATGCAAGAACCGCCTTCACACGCGACGCGACGTGTCTTCTTCGCGTATAAGGTCGCCCATCAAGACGATGACACAGGATTGTGCCGAGGTTATCCGAGACAGAGCATCGAAGTTTATGCAACACGTCGACTACCTAAGTGGAGAGTCGGGTGGGTGTGACGTTGCTGAAGGACAGAAGGCGCCTACGTCATACTGACCTTGCAGCGAAAACCATAAACATATACACCAACCCCTCGTATCGCCCTCTCCTATCTCTCGTACAACACAGCTTGATATCCATTTGACTTCTCGAATATCAAAATCAGAAACGCATAATATCCACCAACCTACACATCCAAATCCAAATCAACCATCATGGCGGCAAACAAGAAAGTCCTCATCGTGCTCTCCGACGCGTCCTCCTTCCCCCTATACAACACCGGCAGCGATGGAAAGACCGTATCGCAAGACTCAGGCTACTTCCTCATGGAGCTAGCGAAGCCTCTCCAAAAGATCCTCGACGCCGGCTACGAAGTCACATTCGCATCACCAGAGGGCAAAGAACCCACACCAGACCCACTCAGCGTATCTCTCGCCGCCTTTGCAGGAAACTACTACGAGAAGCAAAGAGAACTCGACTTGATCGAACGCATGAAGAAAGAGAACGGCTTTTCGCGACCAAAGAAGTTCTCCGAGATCAGCGACGAGGAACTGAAGAACTACGGCGGTGTCTTCATCCCCGGTGGTCACGCTCCTCTGTCAGACTTGGGCGACAACGCGGATCTCGGTCGCATACTCACACACTTCCACAATTTGTCAAAGCCTACTGCGGCCATCTGCCACGGACCTTGGGCTTTCCTAAGTACCAAGTACGGCCCCAGCAAGAAGTTTGAGTACGCTGGCTACAAGATGACGAGCTGGTCGGATGCCGAGGAGAAGTTGATGGAGACGATCTTCCGCGGCGAGATCGACAAGGTTGAGGGCACGCTGAGGAAAGAGGGCGCGGATATGCAGGAGGGTGTTGCTAAGTCTATGGGAAGTATCACTGTAGATAGGGAGCTTGTTACCGGCGACAACCCGATGGCGGCGAATGCGCTGGGGGACAAGTTCTTGGAGATGATGGCGGCAAAGTAAACAAGAACTGGTGGAGCGCCGACGACGATACGGTGCTATGTATGATTAAATGAGCTATGAATTCATACCCAATGACTACGTCGCCTCTTCCCAACCCCAGTGTTGGGCCTCATGCCAAACTCTTCCTTCCTATACCTAACCCTCATTCTCTCCTCCACATCGCCCTCAAAACCTCCCAAGCACTTCTGCGCCCTCCTCATCTTTCTCTCCACCAACCTCCTCAAACCTACCGCCGTCGGTCTTCTTGCGGGTATACTTTGATTACACAGTTCAAATATCCGGGTCAAATCCCTCGTATAGTTGGGCTCATCCATCGTGGACGCCAGCACGGGAAGAGTATGCTTAAAAAAGCGACTTTGTGATGGATCTGAATGTATAGTATTAGTGACAGCCCCGTGCCAAAGGCCTTGAGCCTTGTGGGGACCGAGAAAACTGTGCATCATCTCCCAGAGTACGGTGCCCAGAGACCAGATGTCTGTTTTGCAGGAGAGCGGCTGCTTTTGAAAGTAGCCAAAGCCTCGGGAGTCGGGGTCTAGGGTGTGCAGGTCGATGTTGTTTTCCGGAGCAGCGTAGCCTCGGGTGAACAAGTGGTACTTCTTGGTGTACTCCTCATATCCAAAGAGCTCGAGCATATCATCGAGGTCTGCTAGCACAGGTCGCGGGAAAGAAGTGAAGGGTTCTTGAGGTTCCATGAGGAAGATGTTGCTGGGCTTGATGTCGCGATGCACTTTTGGTATCCACCCAAAGGCTTTTGCTGCATCGTCCGTACCTGGTGTGTACGTCAATCCGGTTGTGAGATTGTAGATTGCTTCTGAGATTGTGATGAGAGTGATCCAAAACATGGGTTCAGGAATCTGGTCGTCGGTATTCTGCTGCCATTTTTCCGCACTGTATTCTTCGATGATGTTGGAAAGTGTGCCTGCAGAGCAATAGTCCATATACCTTTTCACCTCGTACCTGTGTTTGGAGGTGGGACCGAGATGCTCGCCATGGTCATGACACGACCAGAATCTATGTTTCAGTACTGCGCCGGAATCGGGAAGGGTGTCGATGACACGGCAAACTGCCTGTCGCTCGTTGAAGATGATTCTGTCATCTGTTGTGACCTTCTTGAGTACAAAGCGCTAGATCCATGTTAACACGTATCGGCGACAGAAAATTGAATGTCGATACTCACGTCGTGTATGGTGTTGGTCTCATCTAGTGCAATGTACAAACGTATAATTACATGTTTGTCATCATCGCTTTCGTCAGAAAGGGTCTGTAAAAGCTGATACCGGAGATCTGAGGCCATGTTTACTATTCTACATTGAACCTTTTGCTGATGTTAAGGATCGTCGTAGCAGTTTGCTATGGTCGACTGCTCTGATGTTGGAGACATCCTGCGGAAAGTGCTCCTAGATCGGTGTACAGCTAATTTCTTGTATAAAGGAAACAATCGAAGTCAAACAAAGGCATCTTTGATATGCTGCGCCGTCGTGGTTTGCCAAAGCTCTTTGTCCTGAATAGCAGTAGAAAAAGCGATGTATGACGTCATCAAGCATGACGGTCGGATCTCATTGGCATGAGAAGAGCACGGCGTCTAGTCTCCGCGTGTGTGCGCCCGGCGTCAGTAGTTCTCTCCGCAATATCGAGCGCCATTGCTGTTGAATAGAAGATCGTGATGATGTATATGAGGAGGACGGGTGTGATGGATGCTTCGCGACCTTGTCGGAAGCACCTAAGCGAAGCGCGTCGCCCCCGGTCCACGCGCCGAGCATCCTCGTCCACTTTTCGCGTCAAACATCATTCGGTGATAACAGCGGCTTCGCAGCACCGAGGCAGAGGCAGATAGTCCAAGATAACACGACTGCAATTAGCTCTCACCGACCCCGCATCCAAACGATAGCGAACACCGATCATCCTCAACATTCCAATCATCGCCAGTGCCGTAATTGCGGCATCCATTAGACGCCTTCCCCAAGCGCAATGGTGACTGCCACTATGGGCAGGGCGCAGTGTCTGACAGCGGCAATGGAGCCTCTGATAGCACGAACGATATTGTATTTGACAATGCTCGGCGCGGCCTCGGCGCATTAGCAGCAGCTCCAAAAAAGCATGGTTATAGCATGACGCAGGGCCATCCGGTAACCCATCATCCAGTCCTCGTTGTAAGCCTGGGATAGACTCAACCTCATCGCTGAACCGCGATTCGGCTACGACACCATGGCCACGCCTGGTTACAGACTCGGCGTTGATGTTGGAGGGTAAGTAATGATCGCCTCAATTTTCTCATGGACCGGTGGGAGGCCTGGACGCCCACCCGCTAGCTTCTTCCTGGCCCCGGCGGCGAACATGCAGAACTTCCCCGAATCCACAGCTGCCAGCACCTCGCGGCTTGTCTGAACACGGCCCACATCAAGGAGCGCGGCTAACACGATCCCAGAACCTTCACCGACGGTACGGCCCTTTTCCACAAAGTAGCTTCATCTTTTAATCGAGTCTAGTCTGCGTCATTACCCCGAACGGCGAAGCGGTACGCACAAAAGTGCCGACCAACACGACAGATCAGTCTATTGGTGTGCAAGACGGAGTGCAACAGGCACGCAAAATCCTGAAAGAGAAGTACAACTGGGACGGCAGGTTTGAGTACATACACCATGGCACAACCACAGGTACCAATGCGGTGCTTGAAGGGAAAGGCGCCAAATGCGGTCTCATCGTCACCAAGGGTCACAAGGACATACTGTCCACACGGCGAAGCCAGATACCAGGCGGATTAGGCTCGTGGATGCACTACGAACAGCCCGACCCTCTCGTGCCTCTCGAGAGGACTGTAGAAGTCAAAGAGCGTATCAAGATTGACGGTGAAGTCTTCTACGAGCTGGATGAGGATGAATTACGAAAGGACTTGCAGGATCTGAAGAGACAACAACTGCAAGCAATTGCCGTATCGCTGATCAATTCCTTCGCCAATAGCGCGCATGAAGAACGCATCAGGGCCATATTGAGCAGCGAGTTTGGGCCAAATGTTGAGATCGTCACTTCTACAGATGTCCTGCCGGAAATCCAAGAATACGAGCGCACTGTTACGACAGCCGCCAACGCCATCGTCAAACCGGTGGTAAAGACTTATATGCAGAACCTACAAAAGAAGCTCGAGAAAGACACAGACACGATCCGCATCTTGAAATCCGATGGCGACCTGACTTCAACCCACCTTGCTGGCGAGACACCGGTGCGCATCCTCATGAGTGGGCCAGCTGGTGGCGTCAAGGCTGTTTCTCATCTTGTCGCGAAGAACACGCCCTACAAGAATCTCATTACGTTCGACATGGGTGGAACCTCCACTGACTGCGCTCTACTTCCGGGAAGCGATGCCATTATTCGACGAGAGACTGCGATCGGTCACCTATCAGTACGAGCACCCAGCGTGGATGTTAATACTGTAGGAGCCGGTGGTGGCTCTATCGCGATATTCAATGACTTCACAAAGACTCTACGTGTTGGACCTGAGTCTAGCGGCGCCACACCTGGACCTGCAGCTTACGGAAAAGGTGGCACTCAAGCGACTGTGACCGATGCAAATTTGGCATTAGGTCGCCTTCCGTCGAAACTACTCGGTGGAAAGTTTCAACTGGATGTCGCCGCATCTACAGCTGCAGTCGAATCGATCGCTAAGCAAATGGGTCTTGATACAGCTTCCGCAGCTGAGGGCATTATCGACCTGGTAAATGAATCCATGCATGGTGCTCTGCGGTTGGTGTCTGTCGAGCAAGGCTACGATCCACGCGATTTTGCATTGGTCGCTCTCGGTGGTGCTGGTCCACTTCATGGTAACGCCCTTGGCCAGCTTCTTGGTTCCTGGCCTGTTATCGTCCCTCCTTCTCCCGGTGTGCTATGCGCGCAAGGTGATGCTATTACGAAGATGTCGCACGAGCAGAGTTGCACGTACATTCGCGCATTCTCCGAGATAACCGAGGAAGAGCTCAAAGAGACGTTATTGAATCTCAAGTCCGGCGGTGTAGGAACGATGAAGACCTCGCTTGCAGACGAAAACGCTGCTCTGCATGTCGTGTACCAAGCAGATATGCGTTACAAGGGCCAAGCCATGACACTTACTGTGGATCTGACTTCCGACGAGTTCAATAACTCCCAAGAGCTGGTGAATATATTCCGTTCCAAGTTCAACGAGGCCCACCAACATCAATTCGGCTTCTCACATGCGCATGCTGAGATGGAGACAATGCGCTTGCGTGCTAAAGTCATTGACGCTTCCGAAGAGGTGGCTTTCAAGCCCCTGGAAGATGCTCGTACTTCTGAACCTTGCGAAGACGCCATCACAGCTAAACAGGTCATCGTCTGGGATGGGAAGAAGGTCGAGGCAACTTTCTGGGATCGGTCCAAGATCGGAGGAGCTGGCAAAATCATACATGGTCCAGCGGTTGTTACTGAGATGGACTCGAACACCCTCATCCTTCCTGGATACTACGGAAAGATCGACTCCATGGGCAACATACTCATCTGGCCAACCGAGAAAAAGGAACACGGAAAGATCGCGCATACCAAAGAGTCGGCTCAAGAATTGATCAAAGAGCAGCCCATCATCGCTACTCTGATCGCCTCCGCACTGGGTTCTATCAGACGAGAAATGGATGCTCTTCTGCTTCGTTGCGCTATGAGCCCGGCGATTCGGGAACAACAAGACGAATTCAATGTCATCACCAACAGACGTGGCCAAATGCTAGTCGGTCAATTTGGGTCTTTCATACAGCAGTTTCTGGACGGTTGGAAAGGCACAGTCGAAGAAGGCGACGTGTTCGTCACAAATGATGTATACCAAACCGACGGCGCCGTATCGCATCTTAACGACGTTCTCGTTGTACTCCCCATTTACTACGAGCACAACCTCATAGGTTGGGCAGCAAATTTCGGCCACATAACTGATATGCAAGGAAAAGTACCAGGTTCTATGAGCATCAACGCCAGCACCATCTACGAGGACGGCCTTCAAGTACCTATTGTGAAGCTCTATACAAAGGGTGTTTACAATGAAACTCTCGCGACGGTACTCTTCCGCAATTCCCGTACACCAGACTGGTTTCAAAGTGACCTTATGGCGCTTGTTACCGCTTGCCGCACAGCTGCTACGCGTGTCACCGAACTATGCAGGCGCTACAGTCTGGAGGTATACGAAGCAGCTGCGGATTACCTACTGGAGCAGAACAAGCTTGCCATTAGCAGGATCATCAATGACAAGATCAGCGATGAGGTGTCAAGCTTCACTGATTTCATCGACGACGATGGTCAAGGAGTTGGTCCATATGCCATCACTTGTTCCATGAAGAAGGAGAACGGGAAGCTTATTTTCGATTGGGATGGCACTTCGCCGCAGTCAAACAGCTCGATGAACTTCTATCTGTCTGTCACGTTATTAAAGATGTTCATCGGCTACCATTTGCTCGCCATCTACGATCCGTACGCTGTAAGTAAATCAAGCGCCAGAATATGACGAAACGTAACTAATTCTGGTAGGTGGTGAACGATGGATTCCATGAATTGCTAGATATCAAGATCCCGGCCGGTACCATCCTTCGCCCCGTGCGTCCAGCAGCCGTCAGTTGCCGCACTCATCTCCTCGGTCGGATCATGGACGTTTTGCAAGCGCTATTCGGCCAACAAAACCCCGCCTACCGTTGTGCAGCAGGTTTCTCCGACTCACCATATCTCTTCTACTCTGGTTTCAAGCCCGATGGCGAATTTTACTTGCTCTTCCAAATCGGGTTCGGTGGCGTGCCTGCGCGACCAATCGGCGACGGACCAGATTGTCACTGTCTCTTCCCAGCTATCAAGTCCATCCCAGCTGAGAACATCGAGCTCTACTACCCCGTCGTCATCGAAGCCAACGAGGCATTGCCAGATTCTGGTGGCGCTGGTTTCTACCGCGGTGGTAATGCACAGAGGACGTTGTACAGATGGCTATGCGAAGGCGACGTCAGCACGCACGACGACCGATGGTTGACTAAGGCTTGGGGCGTCAACGGCGGAAGGCCTGGAAGCAGATCGAGAAAGGTTGTCTACCGAAACAACAGCTACGGTACACCGGCCGAGAAGGACAACATGGAATTCTGTCAATCGAAGCAAGATTTCATACATGTCTACCCAGGTAAGTTGCACTCATTGTTCGCGTGCGTGGACTACAAAACTAACACCCCCAGGCGACGTACTAGAATGGATAACCTGGGGCGGTGGCGGTCTCGGCGACCCCTTGACCCGCCCACCCGAACGCGTAGCCCAAGAAGTCCACCGCCGCCT